GAGAGCAAGAGAGAGAGAGAGAGAGAGAGAGAGAGAGAGAGAAAGAGAGAGAGAGAGAAAGAGAGGCAGAGAGAGACAGAGCGTATTAGTGCAAGCAGGTCAGGGAAACCACGACCAACTATTGGAGGAACAAGGAAAAAGAAGTCACTGTCCTCCGTCGTACACAAAGAAAAGGGGAGAAAAAACCCCAAAACAAACGTCAAACAAAGGAATCCCCCAAACCCTCCCCCCAAAAAAAACAAAAAACAAAAAAATTAGTTGAAAAAAAATTAAAAATTAAAAGACAAAACAAAACTGATATGATTTTATAAATCGAAATAAGTCAGAACAAAAAAACAAACCAAAAAAATGGACAGATAACCAAGTTTTTCACTTCGTATCTACGTCTTATTCCCTCAACATAGCACACTCATGGGGGCTCTCGTGGCCTAGAGGTTAAAGGTCTCATTCAAAGGTCCTGAGTTCGAATTCGGGTAGGAAAGGAACAATTTTTATTCTCTAAAATTTTCTCCTTTCACCTTTTTTCCTGCTCTCTAGCAATGTGCTTTTTTCTGCTTTCGTCTCTATTTTCTTCCCCTACTCCCTCACCTCCGTTGCCCTCTCCTCTAGGCTCTTGACTCTTTCTGCAGCCTTTCTACTGCTACTCCTTGGCTCCTTTTTACTGCTGTCTTTCAGCCACACCTGGTAGAAAAGGTATACACCTCGCCTTCGCGCTTTTCCCTTTCGTCAACCCGCAGCCACCTCCTGTATCGTCAGCCACCTCCCAACCTTTGACACGGGTCAAACTTCCATCTATTTATAGGTAGTTAAATCTACCGGAACATGTATTAGGCGAAGTGATGTGCAATGATAGTCGCAATAGAGAGATTGTTTTTGTCTCTCTTTACTCATCTGCACCACACGAATTTAATTGATGTTTTTCCCTGGACTCTGCCTTTACTAAAGTCTCGAATCTAGATCTAGTTGTAATCTAGTTGCAGGTTGCAGAATTAATAAATGGCCGAGAGAGAGAGAGAGAGAGAGAGAGAGAGAGAGAGAGAGAGAGAGAGAGAGAAGGGGGAGAAGTAGATCTTGCGAGAACTTCCGGGCAAAACAAAATGGCGACCCGCGTAATTCGGCGAAAAGTGAAAGAGCCATAGCATCTTTGTAGACTATCAAATTAGCTTACTTTTGTGCTATAACGTCATTTTTTTTTTGCTTTTGTCAATTTGATCATCCACACCGATAGAAAGTATTTCGAAATTAGGAAAAACAGGTCTTGTTTCACACTGGGTGGGAATAGCCAACGCTGGTTAGGTGATTAAACTTGATCTCTTATTGACAATATAAAAGTCAATTTAAGCTTCATTTCGTTAGAAAAAAATGTGTTAACTTTTTAGACTTTGTGTTAAACAACAATTTTATCAAAACGAATCCTTACAAGCCTAGGCTTGGCATTTGTAATCTCGAAGGTTTAGAAGTAGAAGTAGAAGAGTCTACTACTAGAGTCTAAAGTCTAGTCCAATTTATTTAATCTCTTGAATGTACTGGATAACAGAAATCTGCAACCTGCCACTAGATTACAACTCTAGATCTAGATCTAGATTCGAGATTTTAGTAAAGGCAGAGTCCAGGGAAAAACTTCAAGAAATTCGCGTGGTGATGAGTAAAGAGAGACTAAAACAATCTCAATAAATAATATATCGCGACTGTCACGGCACATCACTTCAAGTATACATTTTCTGGTATCTACCTATAAACAGATGGAAGTTTGACCCGTGTCAAAGGTTGGGAGGTGGCTGACGATTCGGGAGGTGGCTGCGGTTTGACGAAAGGGAAAAGCGCCTCGCCTTCTCGGACAAGGGGTGAAAAATCTCGGAGGTACCATTTGCAAGTTGCTCACGTTACAAATTCCTTGGTGGTCTAAAATCGATAAGCGAAGATTTTGGCCGTCACCTGGGCAAAATTCAAAACTTCCTATCAACTGAAAATGTTTCATGTGTCCCGCCGGCTCATAATAATGACCTTATGCAGTTGCAAGCGCCGTAAAACACTTACTCCCCCCCT